GAAACACACACGAAATGCCCTGCCGTGCATGTCTAGGGATCGCAAAACTGAGTTTACCAATGCGCAAGAGCATCTAAGGTAGAGCGCTGTTTGTGATAAGCGAATTGGTTTTCATCTAGATGCCCAGCATTGGAAATAATGTTACTGAGCAAAAACTTTTCGAACATTTTTAGTAAAATAGAAGTGCAGGCGATTGGTCGTAGTTTCCTGGCTTCCTTTTTGGAGACTGGTGTAATGCGCACAGGTCTCCAGCAGACGACAATTTTTTGTTCCTCGAAGCAGCGGTTGAAAATACCGGCCAGATAATGCGCACATTCCCTGAGGACGACTGGACATAGTCCGTCGGGACCGGAAGCTTTTGATACTGTTAGGCACTTCAGCTGTGCACGCACCTGATTAGAATTGACATGTGAAACTTCACGATAGTCAACTGATTGGAAATAAGGATGCGATACTTCAGTTCCAGTTGACGTGGAAAATATGCAATTGAGTTCATCTACTGTGGGTTGGGGCCCGCGTAGTCCGACTTTTGTTCTACAGCATTTTTTCATAGCGCTCCAGATTTGCTTACAATTACGGTCACCAAGAAAGGTTTCAGTGTAGAGTTTGTCAAGATTTTGGATCTTATTCTTGATCAGCACTGACGTTTGTTTAACTAAAGGTTGATCAAGATATTTAAATGCTCATTCCTTGGTTCTTTTGGGGGTCTTGAAAGTTGAAGAAGAAAATCTGGCGCGATTCATGTATATGGGAGCTATGGAGCAACAGGTATCAAAACAGAAGTTCAAATAGCTCATGAGATATTCACACTCGATCGAGACACTGGGATCAAAGAACTGATCAAAATTTGTACCAGAACCCATTTCTCTCAGCGATGTCAAGTGGACCCGGTCATAGTCTATGAAAAATCTCCGGGCTAGATGTACTTGTCAGTATGCTATGTTTCTTTGAATAGACTTTTTGTAAAACATTGATGATACGGTGATCGGAGTTTGCCAGAGGGGCTCCTCTTTGCACAGCAAACAGGTCGGGATCATTCGAAAACATAAGAGCTAGCTGCGCGTTTGCTCTTATGGAGAAAGTTACAATATTGTAGAGAGAGAGAGACATGTCAAGAAATGAATATCCTCATGGTCAAAATCGCCACTAACAGTAAAAAGAGAGCGTTCCGTGTAGTTGGAAAGTTCGGATATAAATACTTCAGCAAACGTCTGTATATCAGAAGTTGTACTGGAAGGTGCTATGTAAATGTTTGATGCCACAATAGAACGANATTTACTGAGGAAACGGGGTTTACATTCAACCGAAAGACATGAGATATATCCTAGGTTGTAAGTGAAGATAATCTTCGTAGACTTACACCAAGACAATTTGGTGTAGGTTATTGGACCACCGCCTCGATTTCGTAGTAAACAGTCCCTATGCAACCGATGCATAGCAAATAAATCCAGCTCAACCAAAGAGTCGTTGATGTCAGGATGCAACCACGTTTCTTGCAGCATACCTATCTCCAATGCTTGGTATTTTTTCGTCCTTATCAGTTTCGTGAAGTCGCTCATTTTGCCAAATAATGATCGTACGTTTGATGAACAAATGGCAGAGATAAACATTTTCTGAGGTTTTGTGTTACGTAAGGCCACTTGCCAACCTGCTCAGTGTTTTCTGAGGAAACCTGATCTAGACGGTCTGTATCTTTTGTATCTATTTTTACCTGAACTGATAGAGAATACCACTCTTGAACGATAACAAATAATGTTGCAAATTCTTTGAAGCTCCCGGGGCGTACGTGATCATGAAAGCGATCAAAGAAAACTTGATTCAAATCCAATCTGCAATGTAAAAGTTGATAAATTGTTTATTGGAGCACAAAAAATGTAGCACGGCCGAAATTTGAAGGCCCCGCCGATCATCTACCACCATGTACATCAAATCAGTCTAGTTCTTGTTTCGCATATTCCGTTGTCCGTCATCAATCATTGACTTAGTTGCACCTCTTAGTGGGATGGACAGGTAGGATGGTTGAATCCCATAATCACGAAAACTTGCTGTTCGACTAGTGGAATGGGTGACCAAGTCTTAAGACGTGGAATCACAAACTGCACCAGGTCCCGTATTATACTATGCTATTTCACACTTGTCTGAGTGTAGATCGTGTGCCAAACATATCACGGCATGATAATATTTATAACAAAGAAAACGGTTTATGATGTGCTGGTGGGTGGAATACTTCCTTTCCTGTCCACAGCAGGTGAATTTCTCTGTGGGATTCAATATCGGAGCATTCGGCTAGCCGAAGCCTGATCCACAAATCAATGGGGTCGTGTGTGAAAACCGTAGTCCATTAGGGGACTGGTGTCCAGCTTATCAGATTACACAACCTTTAAACAGGTCAAACGTACAACGCGTCTAACACACCTCGATACTGAATCGAGCCGGTGACCACGGCGTAGTGTCGATCCCACGAGCAGTGAGGCTGTCTCCAGTAGTTAGATTAGTGCAAGTTTCGGTCCCGAAGCACACCACTGAAAGCGAATTTAGCCCCCTGACCACAAACACTTTTAAGGCACATAGCGACTAATTTTTTTTACCATTCCGTTCGTTGTCCAATGTGAGTAAAATCTTTTACATTTTGGTCGATCGATCGCCCCAGCCTGATCATTCTCAAACATTCTCTTATTTAGTTAATGTGGCCGAGGCGTTTCGAC